ACATATTCCTACTAGAGCTCAGAAAAATCAAGATAGGTTTTATAAATTTAGATGACATGTAGGGAGATGTTTTTAAATTTTTAATGTATATATACTTACTTCAGCATGATTAGAAAAAAATGTATAATCATAGTAATATCATGTATATTATTTGGACTGAAATAAAGTATGTCAATTTTTAAAGACCAAATAATACTAGAATATTATTCTCCAGTGTGGCAAATCATTGCCATGGTTCCTGGCTGGCCAAAATCTTGGAAAACCATGAACAGAGAAAGAAAAATGGAAGCTTAAGAAAAATTTATGCCAGGTGTGGTGGTGCATGACTGTAATCCCAGCACTTGGGGGGGTTGAGGCAGGAGAATCACCACCAGTCTGAGACCAACCTGGGCTACATACTGAATTCAAGGCCAGCCTGAATTATATAACAAGAAGCTGTCTCAAAAAACAAAAACAAAAAAGTTGTACAACCTCCACATCAAAAGTGAGGTAGACATAAAGAATGAGAAACTACAGGCATTTATAGCTAAGTGGATGCACACTGAGGCCATCCTCTTAAGTGAAATAAATAGGACACGTGTAAATACCAGGCAGTTTCTCTGATGTGAGAAACTGAAAGTGTAAATAAGGATCAAAATGTATAATAGATAATGTGAAATAGGAAGAAAAGGTTCAAAGGGGAAGGGGAACTGGAAGGAGTAGAGGAAAGGAAAGAAGGGAAAGGAATAAATATGAGAAAAGGAAAAATAGAAACAAAGTCTTTGTAAATAGGGAGAGACAGAGGGCTTGAAGGGAGGGCAGGGGAATGGGGAAAAAATAAGCACCAAGATATATTACGTAAAAGTACAAATTTCCAATGATGAATTGTCATAGTATTGTATACCTAAAATGTACCAATAAACTTAATGAAAAAAAGAAGAAAAAAAAAAGAAACTTTCTTAAAATAATTTATTTTATATTTGACAATTCTTAAAATGTGAGTTTTCTTCTGACGTTACTTACCAGTGTGGATTTAGACATTTTGATCATGCTACAGATTCAAGCTTACTGTGTTTTGTGTATGTTCTCTACAAAGAGAACCAAAAAGCAAGTTTTTTCCAAAAGATTTGAATATCAGGTCAGGATTTCATTTGAACAGGTCTCAGAGGACTTCCCCTTCATTAAACAGGCTGCAAAGAGATAATCAGCCTAGCCTTTTTTATTTCCGTGCAGAGGAACCAAAAGCAGGCTACGTGGTTATAAAGGTTCAAACAAAAACAAATGGGCTGGGGACTGGAGATTTAGCTCAGAGGTTCGGTGGCCTGCCTTGCAAGGCCAAGGACCTGAGTTCAATCCCTGGTACCAAAAAAAAAACCAAATGGGCTGAATTTTATGTTCCAACCAAATCCAGTGACCATGTGACCCAATTTCTCTTCAACCTTTAAGTGTGGGACACAGTTCTGAATGGTAATTTAGAAATCTACATCTTGGGTTGTATTGTATGGCATAAATTTTGATGTGACTATCAATTATCCTAAGACATAAGAACATACAGAGAGACACAGGCAGGCAAGTTTCTAATGTTTTGACATAAAAGCACGACAGAAAACTGAAAAACAAAGGTTTTTCAGCATAAACTTCTATCCTTCTACACTATCCTACATGGTAGCCACCAAATTTCATTTTTAATTAATTTAAATTAAAATAGCCACAGATATGGAACATTTCCCTCATTGCAAAAAGACATACTGCACATAGTCCTACATTAAAACCATGAACAAATTTACCCGATCCATTTCCAGTCCTCCACATCTAAATGCAGTGATAGCTCATACACAACAATCTATGATCTTGCTGACTTCAGTCATAATAGATCTTGATCCTTATTTTCTCTGAGCTCTCTAGACTTAAAAACATTATTTATTACACGCCTTAAGTGATGCAATATATAGGCCTTAGAGAGTACATGATACAGAGAATGATTTCTTTTTCCTCTGGGATACTGGAGAACCTAGAGGCCCCAAATTAAAAGCTATTAAAAACAATTATAGCTCACACACACATACAAAAAAAAGAGCACCATGACCACTACAGAGTAGTTTAAGAATATAAACCCTTTTCTTCCTCTTTAGTAAAACCTCAGCTGACAAACATGAAGACCATCTGCAGAGAACTTTTGAAAAATAAGTTATGGTTATTCTTGATAATGACAATTTCCTGCTTTGAAAGAATAAAGTACTGAAAAAACACTCTTTTTTTTTTTTTTTTTAATCCCCAGTAGCAGAGATCGAACTCAAGACCTTGTGCTTGTGAGGCAGGAGCAGGGCCACTGAGCTAAATCCCTGACCCACTGAAAAATACTCTTAATTCCATGACAGCTGAATAGCCAATCTGTTTTAGTGCTGTTTTCTCTAAGAAAGTTTGTCAATCTCTTTCTAATTTAATTCCTTCTCATTGTCTCCACTGCTTGCTCACTTGATCATTTTCTAGTGGAAAGTAGTGGACACAAACACCTAATTTTGAGCCATTTTTTCAGGTTTACTTCCAAGTACTCTGGGCCAAGCATTCCCGCGCTGCTTTGGAAACCCATGTTTACCTCAACTTGGGGTTTCTCAAAAGTAAAACTACAGACATGTGGAGCCAGGTCTTCACTGTAGAACTACCCTAGAGTAGAACATCCTATAGTAGGATGTAACAAAGCCCCTGGCCTATTCTCAATAGATGTCAGTATAGCTGCCTTCAATTCTAACAAACCAAGACGTTTTCAGACACTATCAGAAGGCCCCTGAGGGTGCCAAATGGTCCATGGTTCATAATCATTACTCTAAACAAAGGCACATTCTTGATTACATCAGCCCTAATTTCTCACATGCACTAGATATTCCTTCAGGCCTTTTCATTGAGACTTACTTTCACCATCCAATTCAGCCAATATTTATGGACCTCTGAGATACATCAGGGATTCTAGGGGGAAAATGGGAAGATAGATTCCATTCAAGATGACTTTTTGGGGGATAAGTACAAAAGTAACTATAATGAAAGATACCCAATTATATAACAATGTGAATTGTTTATGTTTTCTGTGGCACTTCCATCTCAACAAATTGAAAACACCTTAAGGACAAAGACCATAACTTGTCCTGGAGTATAATAATTGATAAACAGTTAAGACAAAGAAATAATTGCCAACTGTATAACAACAGAGATATAATTTCATATGGACAGTAAAAACTCCAGAGCAAATTAGGACAAGTTAACTTCTCTTGATTACACTTTGTTCCTCTGTAAAATGGGAAGAAAAATTATTGCTACCAAGATCAAATCAGAAAATAAATGCAAATCTTTTCCAAATGCTGGCACACAGTAAGCATTCAATACATGTAAGTCATCATTCCTATTATTTTATTAGCAACAAAGCTTACTTCAAGAAGAAGAGTTTGGGCCAGGGAATTAGCTCAGTGGTTCTGTTGCCTGCCTTGCAAGTGCAAGGTCCAGAGCTCGATCCCTGGTACCAAAAAAAAGGGAAGAGTTTACTCTGAACTTTAATATAAATCCTTACATGACATAAATAGAAATCAACTACCATCCTGCTTTCTAAGGACAAGAGAAAGGAAAGTAACTGAAAGCTTATTGACTAATGTCCTGGAAAGAAGAAGTCAGGGTGGGGGACATTCTTACAAATTGACTAACTTCCAATATATTCCTAAAATACTCTTATAACATTTCTATTTAAACCAGACACAGCACATGTCTGTAATCCCAGCACATGGGAGAAGGAGGTGGAGGGTGGGGATGGCAAGCTTGAATCCTGCTTAGGCAATTTAACAAGACCCTTTCTCAAAATAATTTTTAAAAGGGCTGAGAATTCGGCTGCGGATTTAGCTCAATGGTTCTGGCTCCTATCTTGAATCAATCCCTGGTACCAAAAAAAGGTGGGGGGGCTGAGGACGTAATTCAGTGTGAAGGCCCTGGGTTTAATCTCCGGGGTGTGGGACGGAGTGAGGGGTGACAGCTTTCTATTAAAATGATTGGGTATGTTTGCATAAATACACTGAAGACCTGAAGAGAAATTAAAACATGCTTAATTTACAAATATTGGCACACACTGGGGAAAGTTGTTTGAGACTTATGCAGCTTTATAAGAGCTTATTAGTCTTTCAGAAATCATAGTTAGAATGTCTACTGCTATAATATTAAATATATGTCATTGGTATTAAATTTAATGCAAAGCATTAAAAGTTCAAAAGAAGAGGCAAAAACTGCTACACCTTTTAAAATAAAAACATAGCCATGAGAAAGAGCTGGGAAATTTACAGAATGTGTGTATGTATGTGGCCACGCACTTGCCTGTGAAAAATAAGGAAATAGGAGATATTTGGGATACAACTACAAAAGCCACCACACTGAAAGAGATACATCCAGGAACACCTCCCCTGACAGCGCTAAGAGTTTAACTGAGCAAAAACAGACCTTATACTCATAATGGGTAACTGATCATAGTGTGTGCTTTAGGCTTCATGGCCAAATGCTTTACACAGTGGCTCATGTAATCCTTCCAACAATCCTAGAGGCAGGTACTGTTAGTAACCACATCTTACAGGAGAGAAAACTCAGGCAGAGAAGAGATTTGCCCAAGGTCAGTCAAAGTGAGGATCCAGATTCACTTCAGACCTGGAAAATTATTTGCCTTTTAGAATAACCACTTCTCTCACCTCTATCACTGTATTTTAAAGAACATCCCTTTAGTTGCATCCTGTGTGGTGGTCATGAGGCCAAAAGGTAACAAATGGACAAACTGTCCCTTTCATCTTTAGACCCCGAAGTAATCCACATGGAGGAACTTGTATGAGTAGACATGGAGACAATGCCTCAAACAAGAAAAAATGAGAACCCTGAAGAATAAGGGAGGTCACCAAAATTCCTATTGCAGCCCCTATTTCCTGCCTTTGCTCTGCCTACTGTGTTCATTCAAGACCTCGGAGCCTGTCATTAAGTCATTAAGACTTTGCTTTTCATCTCACCCGATCTAGGAGATGGAGAGGATGGCGCGAGCTACAGGGCCTAGGTGCTGGGAGGACAAGGCGAAGCGGGCTCTAGCAGAGTAAGGCGATGCTGCCAATCCGGGGCCGGGGGCCGGGTGGTGGTGGGGAGGTGGGGGTCAGTGGAGAGCCTGAAGCAGGGTCAGTGAGGCCAGGGCGCAGCCGAGGTGTGGTCAGCTAACCGAGATGAGACGTGAACCCGGCTGAAGCTGGGCAGAACCTTGTCACGACCATCTGGGCGTATCAGAGAAAGGAAGCAGGACAGGAACCGAGACATTTCGAAAAGGCACAGAAAACAAGTTCGAGCGCTCCCAGGGCCGAGGTTGTGGCGGCGGGATAGGGGTTGCACCGCAGAGCAGCGGGGTCCTGTGCGCGAAGGGGCTGCGCGATGAGTCCGCTACAC